GCGCTGCTTGCTGCTATCAAGACTGAACTTACCACCTTAGAAAGACCGGAAGTCATTGCTCGGGTCATGTCGTATCGAGGCGGGTATACACCGCAAGACAGACGAGAGATCGAGCGAGAGATGTTCGACGGCAAGCTCTGTGGTATCGTGGCTACTAGTGCGCTGGAACTTGGTGTCGATATTGGATCTCTGGACGCTGTCGTTACGGTCGGCTTTCCTTATACCATTGCCAACCTGCGCCAGCAAAGTGGTCGTGCTGGACGGAGAAACAAAGACTCGCTATCCGTTCTAGTCGGCGACTGCTTTCCTACCGACCAGTACTACATGTCGAACCCGGACGAGATCTTCACGAAACCCAACTGCGCACTTCAAGTCGATCTAGAAAACATGCTCGTCCTGGAAGGCCACGTCCAATGCGCCGCCCACGAAATGCCCATCAACGTCGAAGTAGACACATCCTACTTCGGCCCCCTCCTCCCCAAGATCGCCCGCGAGCGCATGCGCTGCGACAAAGAAGGTTTCTACCACGTCAACACGCGCTTCCTCCCGCAACCCTCACGCACAGTCGCAATCCGCGACACAGAAGAAGACCACTTCGCCATCATCGACGTAACGCACGGCAAAAACACCGTGCTCGAAGAACTCGAAGCCTCGCGCGCCTTCTTCACCCTCTACGACGGCGGCATCTTCCTCCATCAAGGAAACACGTACCTCGTCAAAGAATTCAGCCAAGAACGCATGCTCGCAAAAGTCGAATACGTAAAAGTAGACTGGACAACCCAACAACGCGACTACACGGACATTGATCCCGTGGAAACAGAAGCTATCCGGCGTATCCCCGGTTCCAGGTCGAAAGCTTTCTACGGGCCTATCAAGATCCAGCAAGTCGTGTATGGTTTCTTTAAGATTGATAAGAGAAGGCGGATTTTGGATGCTGTGCAGGTTGATAATCCGCCTATTATACTGTTTAGCAAGGGCATGTGGCTCGATGTGCCGAAATCCGCTCTCGATATCTTGAGATCAAGGAGATTGAACATCGCAGCGGGGATTCATGCTGCTGAACACGCCGTCCTGTCTCTCATGCCCAACTTTGTGATTAGCATGCCCGGCGACGTCCGCACGGAATGCAAAGTCCCCGAGAAAGAGTTCCTGGCGAAGGAATCCACAAGGAAAAGACCGGCGCGACTTACCTTCTACGACGCAAAAGGTGGTGCTAGCGGCTCAGGGATTAGTACCAAAGCCTTCGAGTTTATCGATACGCTACTTGAGCAAGCGTGTCAGCGCCTCACATCCTGCCACTGCCTCGAAGGCTGCAACGAATGCTGCAACGACGACGCGTGTAAACAGCATAACCAAGTCATGTCCAAAGCAGGCGCCATGGTCATCATAATGTGTTTGCTCGGCCGCGAACATAAAATCGACATCGATGCGTTGCCGTGGGGCGAGGAGGATGTGGAAGCCGGTTTCGACACGGTGGTCGAGGCTGTGGGGGTGAGGATGGCGGAGGGGAGGACAAGGGATGGCGGGGTTTTGCCTGGGGAGGGAGAAGGTGGGGAGATGGTGGATGGGAAGGGGGAGGAGATGGTTAGGGCGAAACTGGTGGATGGGGTTTGGATTAAAGAGGAAGAGGAGGAGGAGGATCACTTTTCGAGGAGTATTCATATGTATAGGGGCGAGAGGACGTTTATTGGGGTGCATAGGAAGTGAAGGATGGGTGAGTAGCGAGTGTGGTTTTGTGTTAAATGAGCGAGTGTTAGAGATATTCCAGATACTTTTGGTCATGAAGTTTCTACTGATGTATTGTGTTGAAGTGAATAAGGCTTAGGTCAGAAGGGTAGGTTATGACGTTCTCCGCATTATAACAAGGCTGTCAGCAGAGAGGAATAAAGATGGCATTTAGATTAAGCATCAGTCATATTCGTAACCGCCCCGAGAAGAAACTACAACAAGAAAGAAAAGCTAGAGTAGAGAACCATACCAGCGTAACAGAGCAATCCCCAGACAGGAGCTTCCTTGTCCAATTCATGAACACGTCCTTAGACCCATATCTCATGCAAGCCCAATCATACAGAAGGAAAACTTCCCAACCTATAAACGCCGCGCAATGCAACACACACCCATCCTGACCATATCCCCATCTTAATTGTACCGCCTACTCTTACTAGCCCACTCCTCCTCCCTCCTCGCCTTCTCCGCCTCCAACTTCTTCAACTCTCTTGCCACACCCCCACTAGCCCTCCACCAAACATCCGTACCCGTGCGAATCAGCCTCTCAGCCGCACTAACCGGCCCATCAACCGCCGGCCTAACATCCAAGAAGAAAACCGGTTGTTCGTCTGCCTCACCCTCGCCCGACGCTTCTGACGCCTCCGGCGCACCCTCATAGTAATCAATAACATAACGAATCTCTTTACACCCCTTCTCATTACATCTTTCCACAAACCAATCATGGCGATCAAACGGCGGCGCCGTACCGAATTTCTCCGGCATAACGTAGCCCAGCCACTGCATAATCGTAGCTTTGGGCGTTGGTTCCGTGGGACGACCCGTAAACCTGAGTAGCTTCGGGGGCTGAACATCCCTGTGATCCCACGTCGTTGTATCAAACGGATCCTCATGCGTGCCCAGTTTGAAATTCGCGACTTCCTCGCCTTGCTTGCATATCTCATACCCTTCTTTCAAACCACGACTGAAGCGGCGTTCCCAGCCCATGATCTCCGCCCACGCGCCCTCGTTGAGGAAATTGTGCACGCCGACCATGCTTTCCACGGCTGTGATGTCGGTGTCTGTGTAGCCTTTGCGCAGCATGGCGTTGTACATTTGCTGGGGGGAGGGGTACTCCCAGAGCGTGCCGTCGCCTTTGGGGATCGTGGAGGTCTCGCGGTCGAGGGGGAGGTTGACGGATTGGGTGGAGGCGCGTTCGTTGGAGAGTTCAGAGAACATGTTGTTGAGGGGGTTGAGGCGCGAGAGGAGGCCTTGCTTTGGGGGTGGGGAGGAGCCGTTTTCGGGGGGAACGTAGGGACAGGCGCCAGCGGGTGTCTTGTTTTCGGCGACGACGGGCGGGACGGCTTTCTTGTGCATGGGGCATTCTGGCTGGGTGGTTGTTAGTAGTGATGAGTGTGTATGGGGAGTGGAAGGGTGTACTGGAGGTTCCATGCTGCTCATGCTGCCTCGAGGCATGGCGTGCGGCGCAACACGTGCAGCAGGTGCGGCGGGTGCGGTGTCTGCCCAAAACCAGCCCATGGTGAGTGTCCGTGTGGAAAGAGTGGTACGGCGAGAAGAAGAGGCAAGCAAGGGTATATAGGGCTGAAGAAGATGTGACGGGTGGCGGAGATTATCGGGAAGAACAATTTCGTGCAGGGTCCTCGTCGTCATCGCTCTAAGCGCGTTAGGCGTACTCCGATTGGCTCGACACCTCAATGTAGTGAAAGTCGATTTGGAAGCTATGTTTGGATTTATTTGTGGTTATGTTCTGGATATCGTACGCGTATGCGCAAATGTTCTACATGTCTTGGTCAAGACGCCTTGCATTCTGCTTGATCATATTCCTATGATCCTGCCGCCTTCGCCAACTGACCAGTGCCCCGCGAGCTGAAGATAGCCATGATGCCAAAACTGCCATAGAACAGAACCATGGGGTACGCTACCAGTCCGCGCATAGAAGTCATGCGTCCTACGAGACGTGTTAGTTCCCATCAAAAGCCCCATCGGAAGGCTCGACTTACCAACGACGGTAAACATGGAACTAGAGCTGTAGGAACACCATGTGATGGCCAAGCTCGTCAGAAGATATCCAAATAGCCCGTCAAGCGGCACAATAATTCCAAACATCGATACCAGAACGAGAGGGAGCAGACAGTATCCGAGCACCGATGCCGATCGCGGGAACGTTAACGAGGAGCCGAGATGTGAGCCATGCGGGTGACCGTGGTCTCCTGGAGTCGCTTCGACGACAGGCGGGGACATGAGGGAGAGGATCTGGTGGAGGAGGATCGTGCCAACGAACGCCAGGCCTGCCTTGTTAGTTCCTGTCTTGCTTCAAGCAATTATTTGGCTTACCGTAGATGTAACCGAAATGAAGCTTTCCAGACAACTACCCCACGTTAGCTCTCATCTCTTTTCTTGATATCGTGTCTCATACCAGTAACGACGTCCCAAAGATCAAGAAGAACAGTATCGGCCCTGCCACATCGCTGTCGTCCATGATATGTTGATCGATCCGACCGAACGGATTCAGCACAGCCAACGTCTTCATCTGTATATGCCTGAAGTTCACTCCCAACTCTTCCAGTAGCGGCGGCTCTCCATCGTATCCTTCCGTGCCAAAAGCCGCCAGCCACCCCGTCCGCAGCCCCGACACGCCCATACCCATCTGCCCGCTCACACCTGGTGCAGCGAACCCCGCGCCATACTGTGCGGGATACGCTTGACTCGCCGGTGCGCCATAGTTTGCCTGAAATGGTGTGGAATGGCCAGATACTGGCTGGTTCGAAAATGACGATGGGTAGAATTGGAGGTTTTGCGCATTCCCAGCGCCGTATTGCGGGTTTTGTCCGTAGCCGTATTGCGCCATTGTCTGATGTGCGAGTGTGTGGAGGAGAGCAACGAAGAGGAGGTTTGGGAATGTAGCGATCTGGCGTTGGGTAGGTCGTGCAGCTGGTGCCTGGCGGAGGTGGAGCGGACGTGTCCTGGGGAGATGTGGTACGTAGAGCGAGAGACGACGTCACCGGGGAGTTTTGCGCGGAAAGGACAGATTGCGTGAAACGGGGGTGTTGGGTTTGGAAAGCGAGGACTCGCGCGCTGAAGTGGGAAGAAGACAATTGTTTGTTTGCAATGTTGAGGCTCAATGTGGCAGCCACATGTCATCGTGTGCATCGGCCCTGGCCACCCGTCCACAGGCCGATGGGGCTTGGCAGCGACACGAGGATCTCAAGCAAAGTTAACGCTATGACTATTCAACGGCCATGTCCAAGCTACAGTTCTACGAAGCTTATGAATATTTACTCGTTGCGTTTCTCATCCTCAACAGGGGATTGACGTAATACAGGGGGTCCGCTAACTGCGGCGGTTCTCTGGCGAATATAACGCAACGGCTTGAATCCCTCCTGCATCACCCAGTCCAAACCAATAACCGTACCCTCTTCATCGCGTATGAATACCAGAAGAAATTGTTCGTAGCTCGAGTAATCTACCAAGCATCTCCGTTGGATCTGTTTCATGTCTTCCGGGCAAAAGCTAAACGTGTCGTCGTGATAGTGTAGAAGGTGATGCCGCTGCGTATCACTACCATTCCGCCTCATCTCCAACCGAAGGGTCTCACTGTTCGTGCGCACTTGAATGAGTCCCTTTATATCATCGTTACAGTAACTGCCCCTGAAGCCTCCGAGCTCAGGCTGGGGCGTCATTGGTCTGCGGTTCCGATGCCAGTCCGCTCGCATCTTCATATGAAGGCTCAGACTACTGATGGATGCCTTCTTCGCCCTCATTTCGAAATCCACTTCCGGTTTCATGTCGAAGAGTGATTGAACGAGCATCTGAGCCACGAGATCAGAGCAGTCTCCAGCGCTCTGCGCGTTCGTTAGGACCACTACAGCTGATTTGGTCTCTGGGAAGAGGTAGATCGAGTTCAGGTAGCCAGTCACTTGGCCTCCGTGGTATAGCGTTAGTCGCGGCCGCGATTCTCGACCGATGATATCGTCTTTCTGCGGCCCGTTGGTGGAGAGCCACCCGAGTTGTGTCGAAGGGATCATGTGTCTTGCCCATCCAAATCCATAAGTGTTCTCGTTGACGGTGTCATCTGTGACGGGGAATTTCTGGGACGTGATTTGACTGATATGCCTGAGCGGGTTCATCAAGCTGGTTGAATTGTTCTTGTTCCCCGCTTTCTCTTCATCCAAGCGTTCCATCACTGCTCGCGACCAGATGAGCATATCCGGGATGTTCGACCACATCGCCATTGCCGCTCCGCAAATAGTCCTGTCTGAAACTTGAGGCGCAGGTAAACGCTCTGGACCCGCAACGTTGCAATGTCCATCGCCCAGGACTATATGCGGCTCAGCCAAATTACCGCCCTGAATGTCGTTTCGCGAACAAGTCGATCGAGTCATCCATAGCGGATTGAAGATCCTCCTTTTTACGAACCGCCCCCAGCCGCCGCCCGCGGAATCTTTACCGCCTACAGCTTCAATCACTTTACCCGCTAGGGCGTATGGCCAGTTGGAGTAATGAAATTTCTTTCGAAAGGCATCGTCGTGAACTGGCATGTTGGCAGTAATCTGCAGTAAATGTTGTGGAAACATCAGTGTCTCGCCGAAGGATCCGTACCACGCGATATCGAGCTGAGGAAATCCGCTGGAATGAGACAGAGCGTCTGACAAACTCATACGCTCGCCTATGACAGGATCCTTGTTTTGGGTAAAGGGTATGTATGTGGATAGCGGTTCGGTCCAGCTCAGTTTGCCCTCGTCGACGAGTATACCACAGGATGCGGCGATGAAAGCCTTGGTGAGTGATCCGATCATGTAGACAGTGTCATCATTGACCGGGCGACCTGTTGATGTATCGGCGACTCCTCGACTATACTGCATTATGTTCTCGCCCTCGTGAATGACGCCGAGGGAGACAGAAGGACATCCGGTGATTTCCATCAACTTCCAGATTTTAGGTAGACAAGCCCATAATCTGTTGCAGCATCAGTACAATTCCTATCATATTATTGGTGTCGGCAGAGTGACCATACCTGTCCTCTGCTGCGGGACGATTATACGTTGGCTTTGCTGCGGTAGGCTCCATGACTTATCCGCGGATTGATAGTGATAGTGATAAAGCGACTCCCGTTATGCGAAACACTGGAGACGGATAGCCTTGCTGGATAAAGTAACGACCAAACAACAAACGCAGGTGAAGGTGAGGGGGTCGAGGACGACAAGTACGGACGCGTTGACGTGCCACGGATAGGCGACAACACAAATAGGCAGGAGCGTGTCTGCCGAAACGGGCTAGATAGACCACGCCCATATCCTGCATGATGCATAGGTGAAAGAAGGAACGAATGATCACACAGCGAAGCCGCACCGCAGATTCGATGCTAGACAATCGCGCATGCAAAATGTCATTTGCATATTTCGGAGAAGTAGGTTCGGGAACCGTGTCCATAGATTTGAGGGGGGTATCTAGTCCTAATGCTAAGAGGGGAGGGATGTCATAAATCATAAATCATAAATCATAAATCCAGCCATAGCTGTGGTCGCAAGCGATACGTTTGCTGTTGGCCGAGGAGGTATCCAAGCTCTACTCAAGCGACGAAAGCCAAGTTCAATACATTTCCCTGGTCCTTCGTGAAGTATAGTTGCACCAGTCGCACTGTAGACGAGTTAGTTGATGTTTACACGCCTCATCGCACCATACTAACCAGAGTGTCAGAAGACGCGTCGTTATCCTCACGGCAATACTCGTTGTTGCATTTCCTGCAGGTGCGGATGAAAAGCTCCTTACAGCTTATGCAGGTATGGCCACAGCCAAAACAGTCACGTCTTACGCCGATAACCTGTGTTTCTTCACGTCAGCATACTTCTTGACCAAAGAGTGAGCACATACCTTGGCGCGCAAGTGCCAGTCTCCAGGTGCAATTATCCAATATAGCCAGGCTCCGGGTTCCGGAATCCAACTACATCGTAACGGCCTCAAGGTAGCATCGCTGCTCGCGCGCCAAGGTAGGTCCTTCATCCCCACATCCCGTCGCTACCGGCTCCGGCCATCATTTCCTCACGGAGGCAGTGTTCCACGCAGAGGCCCATATGTACCTTGATGGTTTGCTTGGGGAGCAGTTGACTGGTCCCGTCGGGTTTGAAGCTCTCGGTGAGCTCCGTCTGCTGTAGCTCCGTACGCTGGGCGGTAACCGATCCAGTGTAGCAGTTCTCATCCCACCATTTGTGACATCTCTCGCACCAGCGTCCTTTCAGGCAGTCCTCGCATCGCACTATGAGAGGTGGAGGGGCGGATCCGTCGAGAGTGTGTGGTATCTGCGCGGCGCGTACGGAGGACCCATGAAGTGGTACCGGACTGAGTAGCGGATGATGCGACGGACTGGAGTCGCCAAACACTGCCGGGCCTTCTGGAGAGGAGTGGCATGTCTCGCAGCCAGACGGACCTAGCGCTACAGTGGCTACTGTAGGCCGCAGGAACGAGGATGGATGGGGTGCGCCATCTGCAGTCGCGTCTCTGACGTACGCCTTGCTTGGGTCATGGCGTGGTCCTCTGCACAGAACGGCGTCGAAAGCGATGATGCCTTCGCACGCCTGGAGAATCTCTGCCCATTCCGGCGACGGCCGCTTAGGTATGATCTTGCCAGAAGACTGGTACCACTTGTCCTCGGTCCGCGCCAGTACAGCTTCCAAGGCCTGCTGCGACTTCTCGTTCCATTGCGCCCCTATCTGCGCCCCTTGTGAAGTCGTCACGCCCTTGGGAATATGTGGGGAAGGCTTCTTCGTGACGGGCGACGCAGGGCGCGGTGTTCGATCGCGGGTGCCAAAGATGTAGATGCCTTTGACTCGAGGGGTGCCCGCAGGCCTGGACGGTCGGACCGCATATCGCAGGTATTGCTGAAGCTTCCTCTCGTTCAAATGTTTGGCTTCGCGAATCGAGAGTATGCGGACGTTGAAGCGTTCCTCAGTAAGCAGTTCCTTGACCAGTTCGGCTGTTACGCTGAGCCCGTCTAGTACGAGTGTGTGGACATTGCGCAAGACGTGCAGCTTCTCAAGTCTGTTGAAGATATGACGTAGAGGGCCGCTGTAGAAGTCGTCTTCGGTGAGGGCTTCGTCCATGCGCTCAGCACGGAAACTGGTACCGCCGATATCAAGAGGTCCATCGAAGGGTACAATAGCAGACTTCACCGGAGAGAGATCCAAGTAGCGAAAGGCCTCTGGCGACTGGAAGACAACATGGTGTAGGGATTTGCAAGTTCGCGACAGGTTACGGAGAGCAGATATTGGCAGGTACGGGGCAGTTTGGCGCAGGATCAAGGTGTTGGAAAGCAGGTCCGCCAGGGATGTAGGAAGGTCGTCACTGAAGGTAGAAGGGCCCATGGTGAGGGCTCGGGGAATGCAACCAGAGAAGTTTGGCCAGAGGTTAGATGGGTACTCACCGAATCTTTATTACACAGCGCGAGGGCAGGGCGGAGTAGCACGTGCCACTGATCTGACACTGCAGGTGTGTGTTGGATGAGCAAAAGGAAAGACTAATCGAGGTTGAGACGCTGCAGGAGATGGGGTTGTGGGTGCGTGGGATACCGCCGATGCTTCGTTCCCTGCGGCGATCGCAAGCGCAAGACCCTGCCAAGAGGCGTGGTAGCAGGACACGCAAAGCTTCCTGCATAGGACCTGCACGATCAGGCCGCGATGAAGCATAGATTGGAACACGTCTTGCAGCCAAGCCCGCGCTGCAAGTCTTGGTGGTCGAGTGGAAACAGGCTAAAACAGTCGCTGCGAGATGTCAGGTAGGCGACGCGACGCGCAAAGCCGCCGGGGGATGTTCGCCCCACGTTGGCCGGTTAGAACATGAATCGACATATCGAAACTCACCGGAGCATTGGCATGGACGACACAGATATGGTTTAGGTGCCCGGAGAGATTCTCGCATCTTTGTTGAGACGCGTACTTGTGTTGATCAGTTATGATGAATTGTTCAAACACGTCTACACATATATGGGCTGTATGTTGCGAGATACTCAGGTATGCTCGTGGCTCTATCGGTGTGTCTAAGAAGCTTAGTCACCGTCTCGCAGTTGTATCGGGAAACCATCGCTTGCACTGTGAAAGATGGTAGACCAAATATAGAATATACATGACGACTACGATTGGTGAAACTAGACTTCTGCTGTATACTTTCAACGGTGGCGGCATCTTCACGCGTTACCACGCGAGGGTTATCGATAAGCCAAGCGGGCCGAGGCGAGAGCAGCGCGATGACGCCAGGCATTCACCGAAGCTTCGAGTCGCGAGGCGCATATGTCAGCCATTCCACGCCTCTGAACTACGACGTACCATCATACATGTGTTCCCACCACAGTCATTACCTTCACCTTTCTGTATCTGACGCAAAACAACCATGGACCCGGAAGCAGAGCCAGCAGAGCTGAAGTGGTCCGCGCAATACGAACTCGCACATGCGACGCGAAGCACGCTACCCGGCGACAAACTACTCCTTCCCCCATCAGCGTTAGAGCAGCTCCTTGCCGCAGCACCTGTCGTTCACGTCGACGCGAATCGACCGCACATCACCGCTTTCGATCCTTTTAACCCATACACCTTCAACGCCGAGCGCCACGCACGAGCACAAACGCAGGACCGCTTCCAGCAGCTGCCCCACCCGCTTACGTTCCGCTTGGTCAACCCGGATAATGGCAGAGTTGTACATGCAGGCATACGCGAGTTCTCCGCAGAGGAGGGCGAAGTTGTACTGAGCAGTTTTCTGAAAGAGGCATTGGGAATCAAGGAACAATCTGCGGAGCCTTCTAGGAATGCCAGCCCAAATGGTCAGGATGAAGATGACGTGGCTATGTCGAATGGAGCAATTCCTCTGGGGACAGAAGGTGCTGCATCTACAAAGATCACAGTACATGCCAAGCAATTACCAAAGGGCACCTTCGTAAAGCTACGGCCTCTCGAAGCTGGCTATGACCCGGAGGATTGGAAGTCGCTACTGGAGGAACATCTACGGTCCAACTTTACAACCTTGACGAACGGAGAGGTCCTGGCTATAAATGGTGGTCGAGGAGTTGATGGCAAGCGCGAGGAGTTTCGCTTCCTTGTAGACGGCTTCAAGCCCGAAGGAGATGGCATTTGCGTAGTAGATACGGATCTGGAGGTGGATATCGAAGCGTTGAATGAAGAGCAGGCACGCGAGACGATGAAGAGGATAGCTGCCAAGATGCACCGCGCCCCTGGAACATCACAAGGCAGTTCCACCGGCGGTGCGGTCGACATATTCAACGCGCAACCTGGACAAGTGCTTGACGGCGAGTACGTCGACTACGAACTGACATCCTGGGACAGATCTCAGGGGCTGGAAATCCTTCTAGACGAAGTAGAAGACGGGGATGAGATCGACCTGTATGTCAGTCCGTACTCTTCACGACAAAGAGTTCGCCCACGAGAAGAGGAGCATGTTTTTGCGAATATAAGAAGTCAATATCCGAAACGCATACGACTTCAGCCTACAAACATCGAGCTTGACGATGCGGAAGCTGTATGGATCTCAGTTCATGCATACCCATCTGAGTCACCCTCAAGCACGCCCAAACCCTTCCGTCTGAAGGTGTCGATTTTCGACCCCAAGACAGAAGGGATGGATGGGCTGGACGAGGCCCTTGAGAATGCCAAAGCGGTGGGACCGGACGAAGTGATCTGCAAAAACTGCCAACAAGTAGTTCCTAAAGGCTCACTATTCTTGCACGAGAACTTCTGTCTAAGAAACAACATCCTTTGCCCCCAAGGCTGTGGTCAAGTCTTCCAGAAGCGCTCGCCGGCTTTCCAGAACCATTGGCATTGTCCACACGATACTTTCAGCGGAAACACCACATTGAGCCACCAGAAGCACGACGCTCTCTACCACACACCGCAGATGTGCTCAACATGCGATTTGGAATTCCCATCGATGCCCATGCTCTCACATCACAAAACAACGGTGTGCCCGGGCAAACTAATCCTCTGCCGCTTCTGCCACCTCCAAGTCCCGCAAGAAGGCGACCCCAACGACCAATCCCCCGAACTCCTCCTCTCAGGCCTCACACCCCA